CACTGGCTTCCATCCCCCGCCCCCCTCTGCCAATCCCTCCACTGGCTTCCATCCTCCGCTCCCCTCTGCCAATCGCTGCACTGGCTTCCATCCCCCTCCCCCTCTGCCAATCCCTCCACTGGCTTCCATCCTCCGCTCCCCTCTGCCAATCGCTGCACTGGCTTGCATCAACATTATTTGACCTGGTGATGTACACGTTGTGCCTGTGCAGTTTGTCATTTATTTCTGGCATCCCCGGCATGCCAGGATCTGCAGAGCACCTTGCCGGGACGAGGTCAGTCTCTAGCCCCAGGTGCTCTCTCTCTCACAATAGTCTCTTTCCTAACTGAAACCACATGTTCTCTTGTTATGTGCATGCATGGGACATTTTGGTGACATCTACGTAGGGTGGAAGGAAGGGATATGGGGAGGTAAATGCTGAGACGCATACAAGATGACATTGGCTTAGGAAAGAGCGGGAGGAGAGCGGCCTAGAACAGGAAACGGAGTAAGGCCACAAATAGAGGTCTTTGGTAGGGTTGCCACCTGTCCAGGATTCAACCGGACAGTTCGGGTTTTGAATGCTGTGTCCGGGTTTCATGGCACCAGGACCCTGGACACAAGATGTCAGGTAGACGGGGGCAACCAAAATTAAGATAGGGGCTACTGCCCCTTACTGAAAATAGCCTCAACTGTGATATTTACATATTAATGGGTGGTGCCTTTTACATATGAATAAGTCACGACTCATTCTCCCCAAAAAATATGTCTGCGTGTCGCTAGAGTGTTCGGGTTTCGCTTGAAGTAAAGGTGGCAACCCTAGTTTTAGGTGGAATTGAGAAATTGGGTCCACAGAACAAAAACTGCTGTGTAATGCCATTGACATATTACAGTATATAATTCGGCCTATAATTACACTTTAAGCAAAGCTGGGTCAATAGTGTTCGGATCTGAGCTGACAGGTCACCTATATGCAGGGCCGGCTTTCCCACAAGGCCACCGAGGCCCGGCTTTGGGGCAGCAGGGAGAAGAGGGGCAGCAGGGGTGTGGAATTTCTATCTCCCGAAGCACGGGACATGCAGTTCCGGGCGCCGGGCAGGTAGTTGTTTTCTATAATTAGCCCGGCTTTGGGCAAGCAGAACTAAATGTGCAGCGGGGAAGCCGCCTCTTGTTTTGGAGATGTCGTTGAGATCACTTGTATGCAGCCTGCCAGGTCTGTTTAAAGGAGAACTATGTGGTCAGGGCTTTTCCCCCATAGTTCTAATTAGGGTCACGGGAGGACACAAACTAGCGTCTTCCCGTCACCCTAAGCTCAGTATATAGGGAGCTACAGCTCCCTATATACTGAGGCTTCCTGTAAATCAAAATTTATAAAAGTAAAAAAAATAAAATAAACAAAAAATGTAAAAATAATAAAACCAACCCTGCTTGCCCCTGCCATCTGGTTGCCATTCTCCATGGGGGGTAGTTGGTGGGTAGGGGGGCGCATTGAGGAACCCGGCCTTGGGGCAGCAGAGAGTAAATCCGGCCCTGCCTATATGAGAGTGTAACCCCCTCTGTTTGCCTCCCTGTTGTCACAGTACACGGTACCTGGGACGAATGGTCACCCTGGAGTTTGTGCTCGTCTACTTGCGGCCGGGGTTTTCGGGAGAGGACGCGTACCTGTAACCCACCTCAGTATGGGGGTGAGCTGTGTAAAGGTCCCGAGAAGCAGACCAAGTTCTGTAACATTGCCTTATGTCCAGGTCAGTATAACTGTGTATATATATATATATATACTCAAAGTGTCTATCTCAGTGTGTACATTTTCTATACATTAGGATGTTCCTGTCCTTCTGAAGCCTACTTGTATTTTTATATTGTGCACCTTTGTTTTGTTACATAAATTTGTTTTTTATTTTTGGCATTCTTCTAGTTAAAACCATGAAAGACCCAATATAGAACCATGATTGTATAGTGTACATTACGGATATTCCACCCAAAGCATTTCCTGGGTCTTGGAATAGAGCCCACTTCTTCAAGGATGCGTGCAGGTCAAGCAATACGAGTAATCTAATAATAAAACCAAACGTGTGATATAGGTTACAAATATGCACACAAGGCATTGTCATATACAGCAGGGCTCAAAATGTCAAGTCCTGAGCTACTAGCCAGGCCTTAAAAGTTACTCGCCACCAGTTGCCCCACCTAACCCTTACCCTGTGCAGAGGTCAGTGTGACTCGCAGGGCGGAGGTCAGTGTGACGCTCAGGGCAGAGGTCAGTGTGACGCGCAGGGCAGAGGTCAGTGTGACGCTCATTGCGGAGGTCAGTGTGACGCTTAGTGCGGAGGTCAGTGTGACGCGCAGTGCGGAGGTCAGTGTGACTCGCAGGGCGGAGGTCAGTGTGACGCTCAGGGCAGAGGTCAGTGTGACGCGCAGGGCAGAGGTCAGTGTGACGCTCATTGCGGAGGTCAGTGTGACGCTTAGTGCGGAGGTCAGTGTGACGCGCAGTGCGGAGGTCAGTGTGACTCGCAGGGCGGAGGTCAGTGTGACGCTCAGGGCAGAGGTCAGTGTGACGCGCAGGGCAGAGGTCAGTGTGACGCTCATTGCGGAGGTCAGTGTGACGCTTAGTGCGGAGGTCAGTGTGACGCGCAGTGCGGAGGTCAGTGTGACTCGCAGGGCGGAGGTCAGTGTGACGCTCAGGGCAGAGGTCAGTGTGACGCGCAGGGCAGAGGTCAGTGTGACGCTCATTGCGGAGGTCAGTGTGACGCTTAGTGCGGAGGTCAGTGTGACGCGCAGTGCGGAGGTCAGTGTGACTCGCAGGGCGGAGGTCAGTGTGACGCTCAGGGCAGAGGTCAGTGTGACGCGCAGGGCAGAGGTCAGTGTGACGCTCATTGCGGAGGTCAGTGTGACGCTTAGTGCGGAGGTCAGTGTGACGCGCAGTGCGGAGGTCAGTGTGACTCGCAGGGCGGAGGTCAGTGTGACGCTCAGGGCAGAGGTCAGTGTGACGCGCAGGGCAGAGGTCAGTGTGACGCTCATTGCGGAGGTCAGTGTGACGCTTAGTGCGGAGGTCAGTGTGACGCGCAGTGCGGAGGTCAGTGTGACTCGCAGGGCGGAGGTCAGTGTGACGCTCAGGGCAGAGGTCAGTGTGACGCGCAGGGCAGAGGTCAGTGTGACGCTCATTGCGGAGGTCAGTGTGACGCTTAGTGCGGAGGTCAGTGTGACGCGCAGTGCGGAGGTCAGTGTGACTCGCAGGGCGGAGGTCAGTGTGACGCTCAGGGCAGAGGTCAGTGTGACGCGCAGGGCAGAGGTCAGTGTGACGCTCATTGCGGAGGTCAGTGTGACGCTTAGTGCGGAGGTCAGTGTGACGCGCAGTGCGGAGGTCAGTGTGACTCGCAGGGCGGAGGTCAGTGTGACGCTCAGGGCAGAGGTCAGTGTGACGCGCAGGGCAGAGGTCAGTGTGACGCTCATTGCGGAGGTCAGTGTGACGCTTAGTGCGGAGGTCAGTGTGACGCGCAGTGCGGAGGTCAGTGTGACTCGCAGGGCGGAGGTCAGTGTGACGCTCAGGGCAGAGGTCAGTGTGACGCGCAGGGCAGAGGTCAGTGTGACGCTCATTGCGGAGGTCAGTGTGACGCTTAGTGCGGAGGTCAGTGTGACGCGCAGTGCGGAGGTCAGTGTGACTCGCAGGGCGGAGGTCAGTGTGACGCTCAGGGCAGAGGTCAGTGTGACGCGCAGGGCAGAGGTCAGTGTGACGCTCATTGCGGAGGTCAGTGTGACGCTTAGTGCGGAGGTCAGTGTGACGCGCAGTGCGGAGGTCAGTGTGACTCGCAGGGCGGAGGTCAGTGTGACGCTCAGGGCAGAGGTCAGTGTGACGCGCAGGGCAGAGGTCAGTGTGACGCTCATTGCGGAGGTCAGTGTGACGCTTAGTGCGGAGGTCAGTGTGACGCGCAGTGCGGAGGTCAGTGTGACTCGCAGGGCGGAGGTCAGTGTGACGCTCAGGGCAGAGGTCAGTGTGACGCGCAGGGCAGAGGTCAGTGTGACGCTCATTGCGGAGGTCAGTGTGACGCTTAGTGCGGAGGTCAGTGTGACGCGCAGTGCGGAGGTCAGTGTGACGCTCAGTGCGGAGATCAGTGTGCCGCGCAGTGCGGTGGTCAGTGTGACGCTCAGTGCGGAGGTCAGTGTGACGTGCAGTGCGGAGGTCAGTGTGACGCTCAGTGCGGAGGTCAGTGTGACGCGCAGTGCGGAGGTCAGTGTGACGCTCAGTGCGGAGGTCAGTGTGACGC